AAGAATGTTATTTCTCCACCATTGTATAGCCTAACCATATATCTCTATTATTTACCACTTTTAATTGGTCATAACATTTTCGGATATATAATAAATCAAACTTTACTCAATGGACCAATATGCCTATGTATAATAAGAGTCCATAGTATATTTAACACCAATTTCAAATACTTTCATAATCACTTTTGTGATCAATATTTTCATATTAGATCACCATGTAAATGCAAGTCATGAAACATGAATCTAAAGAATCATTTTCATAAAATAGCATAAACAATAATTATACTATAAGTTATACTCATATTTCATGCAAAAACTTATGATGAATTCATATTAGTCAAGTCATTGATTAGGTAATTCCAAGTCTTACAACTTTTACAAGCCAATATGTTAATATGGTATATAACCAATCACATCCTTGCTATTATCATGAAACTATTGAAAACCATGGAAACTTGTGCAGTTTTTTTTTTAATAGCCTACAAAAGGCCATTTTTTCATATACAAAAAGCAAAAATGTCTTCATTGTCTTTAATTAATAATGTATTAATTGGATGATGGCATTCTATCTTTATAGTCCATATCTTTCTTAACATATAAGAAAGAAAATTCCATCCCATTCATTTTATTTTCGTAATATATGACAAATTATACCAATGTTCTCCATGCCATCACAAAATGGAATTAAACGCATACATGTACTAGTGCTTTTGGAACATGGCTAATTTATATATTGATGAAGCATCCTTCGAAATACTAGTAACCAACAAATGCTTCACTATTTTTAATGACATGTCTTTTCTTTTAATGAATTATCTAATTAGCCCAAATTGTTGGCCACATTTTAGTTAGTGATACTAACATAAAATTTACAAAATATATGGATGCCATAGATATACATATTTTATGTATTTTATATTAGCACTAACCATTATTCTTCATGAAATTATATATTTATTGCATATAATAAACTTGCATTAACTTATTACATTATAAATTCAAACAATTTATAAATGCTATCACTAATGGAAATAATATTTCATAACTCATACCTTTATAAACCTCATAGTTATAATAGTTTGATATATTCTTTTTAAACAAGCATCTATTTAATCTCCTACCTTTTGTAAGCTAGTTTCATCAATCGTAGTTATATAACAAGAACATTTATATTCCAAATTCTTGAGTTTATTTGTCTTACTTGTTTTGGCCATTAAACACAAATTGATTTGTACCTTAAACTTTTTCTTTGTGATTGTTCATTATAAAATTTTATTTTGTAAAATCGCTTCTAGTGTCATAAAACCAATAGGTAAAATACACATCACATTGCCCATGTTTCTGTTAATAACAACTATTTAGTTTATTATCCACTAATTAATCTATGAAACACCATATCTTAATAATAATTATTCATATACATTAATTTAATTTTAATTGGTTTTCATGAAAATTAAACACTAGTAAAAATTTGAACAAATAATAAATTAAAAAAAAATCAGCCTTTGATTTATAAACAACCAACAAATGTAGAATCATACAAATAGCTTGACTCAACTTATTATCTCAATTTTAATGTCACGACTTAAAAATAAAACTAATCTCATAGCCAAATCTTATTTTTTGGTTATATTCTCCACTTACATCTAAATTTTCATGGTAAATTTTTTTACTTATTTTTTATTATTTTCATAGAAACCATGGGACAATTTGTATGTTTTATATATAACTAAAACATGACAATTAAACAATTGACCAATTCAGTAGAACCCAATTTAATTCGTTACTTAATAATAAATGATAATTCTTTTGATCGTACATCAATTCATATCTTTCTCTTTTATGTTTTCAAGCTATTTCCCATACCAATATTTATAAATATTGATTTTTCAAATAGATATAATACAATTCATTAAACAATTGTGGAGCCAATTTTAGTATATGCATATATTTATGCAATGTAATCAATATTTTACATATTATGTTTTGATTTTACACACTAATGAAATTAATTGTTAACGTGCTTATCTTATTTAGTCAATCTTCTTACTAGCAATTATGTAAAAATAAACATACTTTTAATAAAAATCTTTATGAAAATTAACATTTTGATCCATTGAAACATTAATCCTCTGACACCTTAAACTTTTTCTAATATTGATTTACAAATCATGCTAAATTCTATTACTTGTATCTTTCTCATGCGAAATATAAATTTCTCATAATTATCTTTAAATTATTAAAAAAAAAAGAAAAGAAATAATATAAAAAAATTTTAATTTAAAGACGCGAAAAAACAATTTTTTAAAGGTAATTATGCCTTTAATATACAACAAAATCTCAAAACTCTTCAAGCAAAAATAGTAAAAATAATTATACTAAAAAATTTATTTATAATGAATAAACATATATAAATTTATATTCAAATGTTTATGACCTTTTATATAATTATAATCTTTATAAATAATAATTTATTTATATTCAAAAAATTATGATAATTTGTTATATAATAATTATTTCTATTCAAATATAATTATTTAAAATATGAATAAAATTAATATAAAAAATAATTTTATTTATCAATAATTAAATTTTTTTATCTAATATAAGATGCATTATATTTTAAATTATCAATAATTACTATTAAATAGTACTATAAGATTGGCTAGGGTTGGTCCTGGTTTTAGCACTGGCTCCCATTATAATAATATATATTATTATATTTTCTTAATTCTTTTCCCTTTGTTTGGAGAAGAAAGCAATTTCTCTCATCTTTGCAGCCAGGAAAAATATTTAAAATAATAGCATTTAATATATAGGACATTATTCATAAACCAATCTAGTTGTTAACTTATAATTTCTACTTCTTGATATATATATATATATATATATTTTTTTTTTTTCTCACAAGAAAAAAAAAAAAAAAAAAAAAACTGGGGAGAACTGGCCACAAAGTCGCAAACAGATCTCTAATCTAAGCGGAGAGGGTAGCTAGCTATGGCTCTAATTCTACACATATTCCGGTGTTTCTAAACTCAATGCCGACAAAACAAAAAATAGAATAATATTGTACGTTGATGATGTGCTTTAATTCAATTTTTAAAAGAGTTCTTCTGTCAACAACCATGGATAACTTCGAGTCCTTTCCCTCCCTCCATTAAGTAAAAAATATTGTCGATCGATTTGTTTTTTGTTGCAAACCCATACCTGGATCATATATATACATATATAATATATGTAGGATGATTTTTGGAACGAAAAAGAACACGACAAAAATTTTGTAAGCAAAAGCAAACAATGAAACGCAAAATATCATATTAAATTTATTTTTTATAATATCATAAATTTTCATTTATAAACATTCAAAAAATTAAGCAAATGCCTTTAACAAGAAATTCATAATCTCACTTCAACTACAAAAATCAAACTTTACTTTAATTTACTTAGAAAGTCTAATCTCAGCAGGAATAATTAAAGTATATATGTAGCTAACTGATGTAGGCTAAAAATATTAAAAAATCGAGAGCTGAAAGTCTAATCTCAGCAGGAATAATTAAAGTATATATGTAGCTAACTCATGTAGGCCTATACCCATTAACAAATTAAAATTAGGTATTTTTCTATCTAATTCTTAATTTGATGGTTTTTGGCCGGCGACATAAAATGATCGCTCGACTCAAGACGAACCAGTAAACCTAATTAATCAACACAGGGAATATTTATGCTCTATATAAAAATAAAATAATAATTGGCGAAAGCAAGCACCAATTCAAACCAAGTAGTATTAATTTCGGGGAACATATATATTTTATTATTCAGCCATATGTAAAATCAAATTGCCAAAAACTTAAATAATTGTTTATGATTGAGTTCAAATTTGGAACCCTCTTCTACGCACGGAAAATGGATTAACAAAAATGTTACATCCGAGAGTTAATTATATTTTTGGAATTTAAATTTTAAAAAAATTTATAAATTGATATTAAACAAATAAAATATATAAATTATGTATGATATTAATAAAAAATTTAATATTATTAATTATATCAACTTATATTTGTGATATTTAATAAATGTTATTAAGTTATATCTTCATCATACATATTATCAATATTTTTTAATATAAATAAAAAATATAAATATTTTTTTGAACTCTAAGAAATTTTATAAAATTGATTAATTATTGTTTACTAAGTGATATCTGTACGACATTCAAATAAAACTTTTATAAAATATTTAACACTTATATTTAACATATAACATATATATAATAAAATAATATCGATTAGATATCATATAGGTAAGATAAATTAAAAGTATTAGAATTTGAATTAAAATGATATATTATTCAAAAATTTAAAATACAAATTATATATTTTATTTTTTAAATTAATTTATACGTGTTCCTAAAATTCAAGTACCAAAAAAATAATTAACTTGACATTTGGTCAGTGATTTTTTTTTGTTAAATATTTACCCAGTGGAGATAAATTAGGAAATACGATTGCATTATGTACAAAAAAAATTGTAATTCTACCATATATACAAATATTAAAGTGGAAAATGGAAATACTAAACGTAAACTAAATTAAATTAAATAGTAGGTAGCCGTAGTAATACTGTAATAGTAATACTAACAGAGATGTGGCATCACAGCTACCACCTCTTGAGCAGCCAATCCCAGACCCACGTGGCCTCCAGTTGCCCGTCCATCCAACCAACCCATTCTGTCGTACGTATAAAAGCCTTCTAACCCCCCCCCCCCCCCCCCCTTTCTATTCACTCGATTTCAACTTACATGGGATTTATTTTCCTAGTATACTTGTAGGCTCTAGCTACTTAAAAAATCCCCAACTCCGACTCCAACTGCCGCTTTCAAATTTCAATCTCCACTTTTGCTTAACACTTTGCTGTAATCCAACTCCTTCATTCTTCAAATATATTACATCAAAATAAATATATATTAAAGCTAGCTATTCGTCGTCAACCCACCACCACCTATGGCAATGGCAATCGCTTCCGTTGAGGAGATCAGGAAGGCCCAAAGAGCCCAGGGTCCAGCAACCGTCCTCGCCATTGGCACCGCCACTCCTCCCAACTGCGTTGCCCAGGCTGACTATCCTGACTATTACTTTCGTATCACCAACAGCGAGCACATGACTGAGATCAAAGAGAAATTCAAGCGCATGTGTACGTCTATGTATATATATATATATTAATACCTACAATATACGGAGTATATTTAATTCACTAGTAAAATATAACCATTATTCCTTTCCTTTATTATTTTCTGTGTTTATTATTTAATTTTACTCATTCATGCGTGTATGTCTCAAGAATCCTTAGCTAATTCTGGTCATCATTTCTTTTCTACGTTTAGGATTTGAAGTGAAAATCAAATCAACACATTATTAAGATATACCGTCCAACGACGAATGCTCTATGTGATGTTGTTAGATATATATCATTGACTTTTTTTTTTTTTGCACTACACTGGAGGTCTATTCTTAATTTATATTTTTTCTCTCAATAGGCGACAAATCAATGATAAAAAATCGTTACATGTACTTGACTGAGGAAATCTTAAAGGAAAATCCAAGCATGTGTGCCTACATGGCTTCATCTCTCAACGCGCGCCAAGACATGGTAGTGGTGGAGGTGCCAAAGCTGGGGAAAGAAGCCGCAACAAAGGCCATCAAAGAATGGGGACACCCAAAATCTAAGATCACCCACCTTGTTTTCTGCACGACTTCTGGTGTAGACATGCCTGGTGCAGACTACCAACTTACCAAACTCCTGGGACTGAAACCCTCCGTCAAGAGGATCATGATGTATCAGCAAGGCTGCTTTGCTGGTGGAACGGTGCTCCGTCTCGCCAAGGACTTGGCTGAAAACAACAAGGGCTCTCGTGTTCTCGTGGTCTGCTCCGAAATCACGGCTGTGACTTTCCGTGGACCCTCTGATACGCACTTGGATTCCCTAGTGGGCCAAGCACTTTTCGGTGATGGTGCTGCAGCCATCATCGTAGGTGCCGACCCTGATACAAAATCTGAACGCCCACTGTTCCAGCTTGTATCAGCCACTCAGACAATCTTGCCAGACTCAGATGGAGCCATTGACGGACACTTACGTGAAGTCGGCCTCACTTTCCACTTGTTGAAAGATGTACCCGGATTGATCTCCAAAAACATAGAAAAAAGCTTGGTTGAAGCATTCTCACCAATTGGCATTAGGGACTGGAACTCAATCTTCTGGATAGCTCACCCTGGTGGTCCTGCAATTCTTGACCAAGTCGAAGCCAAACTGGGTCTCAAAGAAGAGAAACTCAGGGCGACCCGTCATGTACTGAGTGAGTTTGGCAACATGTCAAGTTCATGTGTGTTGTTTATCTTGGATGAGATGAGAAAGAAATCCCTCGAGGAAGGACAGCCCACCACCGGTGAAGGGTTGGAATGGGGTGTCCTTTTCGGTTTCGGGCCAGGTCTTACTGTGGAAACTGTTGTTCTACACAGTATCCCTACAGAGGCAACTCACTGACCGAAGGAGATAAAGTGAGTTGATTGTTTGGCTTTGGGAGAAAATCAGGGGATAAAGAAAATCAAAATATACGCTATCCATGGATGGATATTAATAAATGAGAGAAAAGAAAAGAAAAAGAAAGAAAAAAGAAAAAGAAATGAAATGAAAGTTTTTTAGAAAAAAATGATATATGCAAATAGTTAAAATTAATAAAAAAAAATTTATAACCATTAGTTGGATAAATAATGAAAAAATATTATAATTTTTTTAATTACAATTTTTTTCAAATAACATATAATATATAAATATATTTTTATATTATCTAATTTATATAAATAAATTATCTTTATAATGATCACTTGTTCATAACTATTTATGATTTGATCATCAAATTTAGACTGATTTGATATATCATAAAAATATTAACTGAATTTCAGATAAAAAATTATAGGTTTTTAGCACGAAAACAAAGAATCACGAATTGTTAAATTTGTTATTGATTTTACATGATTAATAATGATTCATTATTTGGTTTAACATAAATATAAAAAAATAAGTATACATTTAAAAAAAAGTTATCATATATATATATTTATGTTTGATCATGTTTAATCATTCATCAAAAATTAAATTATTAAAATAATTATTTATCAACAATTTTTACATTGAAAAAGATGTGAAACTTACTCCAAGAAAAGAGATTTAGACGAGAAAAAAATTGTAAGATGATTATAATAAGGCTAGGTTTAAATAGTATTAATAAAAATATGGATAAATAATCTTTTCATAAAAATAAAAATTTTTTTAATTTTTTTTCATAGTTTTTTCTCTAAATTGAGATATTAAAAAAATAGAGCTTATAACAAAAATCAAAAGTTATTAAATTTTCACTTTTTTCCTTTCCTTTAAATTAAAAATTTATCTAAATAAATTTTTTTTTTCTGTTTTTAGTACTTTTTTTATTTTCATTTTATTTCTTTTCCCTCCTCTTAATCCAAATATAGTGAAAAAGATTGCAATGACCTGGTTATTTATTATTTATTAAGAGTGTATCTTTTGATGTATTATTAGTGAATAAATTTTATATAGGGAATCAAATAATGTTATTTATTAATGAGTAATTATTAATTTTTAAAATAAATATACTAAAAGTTAATATTTTAAAAAAATTAATTATTAATGAGATAATATTATTTTATTAACAAATAATTATTAATTTTTAAAAATTAATATATCAAAAATTAATCATTAATGAAGTGGTATTATTTAATTTATTTGGTTATTGAAATAAGATATGTATGTTACTTATAGATAAAAAAAATCACCCTAAATCTAAAAGAAATTTGTTTGGAATATAATTGATTCTCACTTTTAAATTTGTGCATTTTCAAAATTAATGATTAATGTAAGAGAGAAATAAAACAATGTATAAAAATCTACTTAACTTACAAAATAGTAACGAATTAATCAAGAAATTATTGAATTGAAAATATTTATTAACTAAGCAAAACTTACTATTAATACCTTCATGAAAAATAATATTTTATAACTTAATATTTTTATGTGCAATTCATGTTATCACTTTTTTTATTTGAGAAAAAATGTGTTACTGTAGAAGTTAAAAAGATTAATATTTAAAAATGTAAATATAGTAGCAATAATAATAATTATACTCTTTACTCAATTTTTGTTTTTCACTTTTCATTTAGTATAAACATTATAATAAAAATAATATTTACATGTTCAAAATTATTGTAAGGTGTTTCATATATCCAAAAATAAGTAATAGGATCAGTGATTAACCAATTATTTGGTACCTAAGTAGGATCTTAATTAGCATAAAGTAGAATTTTCACAAAATTAAGATAAATACATATATAATACAAAAAAATTAACGAATGAAGTACATATATATTATTTATCAATGGCATGAAACCAATTTTTTTATTCAATGATTTTTTCTTTACATAACAAAGATATATACCTTCAAATTTTATTTTAGTGTCTAAAAAATGTGATTGTGATAAAAAAAAAAGTAATAAAAATAATTAAAAAATGTGAAGCAACTAAACAAATTAGAAATAAAATGTTAGAAAATAAAGTTAACACAAAAAAGAATTGATATACCTTAACTAAACTATAATCTTAGTTAAAACATTAAAAAATAAAAATGGTTAAGAAATTTGTGTTAAAACAAGAAAGAATTTGAACAAAAATAATGTACTTATGGGATTATTAGATATGAAAATATATATTTCATATTTAACCTGTATTTCAATGCGAGTTCAATCAAGCAGTAGATAATGTGTGAAATCCTTAATTGTTAAGTAAGCTTTGAAAGTATAAAGGATGTTGGCCTTGAATTGATTAAGAATTTTGATTTGACAAAATAAAAATTTGCCAAACTTGTTTCAATCTTGTCTAAGCTTAAATTAAACATTTTTTCACCCTTTTATCTTGTCAAAATTCATTTGAGAACCAAAACAACTCAAATTCTAGGAACAAAATATGATTTATGCAAGTTTTGATAGAAGGGATCGATCCCCTCCATTACCAGATCGATCCCTTAGCAAAAGGATCGATTTTGTTTTCAACAAAAATCGAAAAGTTCTCAAGATTTGGCAAAAATCGATCAATCCCCTCCTTGTAGGGAACGATTGGTTAGTAAAACAGATCGATCCCTTTCTTTAAGGGATCGATCATTTTTTTATACAGAATGCTTTCCTTGTGCAATTTTTTAAAAAAGGGATCGATCCCTTCACATAGAGAATCGATCACCTAAGGCAAGGGATCGATCCCCTCTTAAAGGGTTTGATCGGTTGTTCAAACAAAATGTCCCTCAAGTGTGGAAACCCAAAAAAAGGGATCAATCCATCCATATAGGAGATCGATCACCTAAAAGAACAGATCGATCTTTTCAAGCAAGGGATCGATCGGATAAGGCAAAATAGGCATAAAATCAGGCTTTTAAAAACATGAACCAATCAATCCCCTAAGAAAGAGATCGATCTCCTGAAGGCCTGAAACTCCCAACGGCTATTTCTGTCTGAAATTTATGCAGGTTTGAAGCATTAAATGCAATTCAACGGCTCTCAACTTCTTTCTAACTATAAATCAAGCATTTCACTACAGACCAAGAGTAACAAGAGCTAAAGAAACTTATTGCTATTCACCTACCAATTTGCTCTAGCATTCAAAGCTGTAAAAAGAGAAAAAGTGCAGAATTCATATAAGTTTTTCTCTCTTTCTTATTTATACATTTGTGTACTTCAACTTAGCAAACACCTAGCCTTTGTGAGGTTCTTAAAGTTTGTCAAACACTTCTGAATTTTTTGTATTATGAGTGTGTAAGCTTAAAGGGGGAGGATAACTCTTGAGAGTGTATGTTGTTGAGTTGAAAAGCTTTGTGAAAGCTTAGTTGTAATCTTCATCAAATAGTGGATTGAACTCCTTAACAAGAGAGGCTAAGAGAGAGGACGTAGGTGTCTAAGAAAGGATCGAACTTCTATAAATCTTGGTGTTAAATTCTCTAACCCTATCTCTTATTTATATTCATCTATTGTGCTTATCTATTTTGATAATTTGTGGTTATTGAATATTATCTTTGAAAATTTTATTAAAACCAATTCACCATCATCTTAATTTATTCCAAGTCTTTGAGCTAATAATTAATATCAGAGCCAGTACTATTTTTATAGGTTTAACTGCCCAAGAGTAATTTTAAAAATGGCTCAAAGAAATATGGTAATCAATGTGAAAAATCATCCTTAAGCTATAACAACTATACCTGCCAACAAGAGGTGTATCTCATGGTAAATGAAATAATTGTAACATCTCTTGGAAGTGAAGGGCATTCAACTGTTAGACCCCCTATCTTTGCTGGTAATAACTACTTCTATTGAAAGACTAGGATGAGGCTGTTCATTCAAGCAAATGATTATGAAGTCTGGAGGGTGATTGTAAATGGTCATCAAATTCCAATAAAGATGGTGAATGGAAAGGAGGTGATAAAGCTAAAGAGTGAATGGGATGTCAATGACATGAAGATGGCTCAACTCAATGACAAAGCAATACACACACTCTTTTGTGCATTGAGACCAAGTGAGTATAATAAAGTCTCATTGTGTAAAAATACAAAAAAAATTTGGGATAAGCTGACTGTCACCCATGAAGGTACAAAACAAGTGAAAGAGATAAAAATAGGCATGCTTACTCATAATTATGAGCTATTCAATATAAAACCCGATGAAACCATTAGTGAGATGTCAAACCGCTTCACCGACATCATTAATGGTTTAAAGGCTCTTAAAAAGACATATTCAAATGTGAAGATGGTAAAGAAAATCTTTAATAGTCTACCAAAGAGTTGGAAAGCCAAAGTGACAGCCATTGAAGAGTCCAAAGATCCTCATACATTTTTTTTGGATGAACTAATGGGCTCTCTCCTCACTTATGAAATAAAGATAAAAAGGGGATAAAAACTAGTCAAGAAAGGTGGCATTGCTCTTAAATCTACCTTTCAAGAGGATGAAAAAAATTTTACTCAAGAGGAGGATGATAAAGATGAAGAGATGGCCATGTTTGCAAAGCGATTCAAGAAGTTCATGAGAATGAACAAGTTTTCAAGTAGGAAGAGACCACAAAGGGAGATGACTAAAGGAGAATCAAGTAGAAGAGAAATGGATCAAATTATTTGTTATGAATGTAACAAATCGGGTCACATTAAAATTAATTGTCCTTTATGGAAAAAACAGAACATAACCAAGTCACAAAAAAAAGCTATGGTAGCAACATAAAGTGATAACGACTTTTTCGATGATGAATCAAATGAAAGAGAAGTAGCCAACCTATGTCTCATGGCTCTTGATGAGCCCAAGGTAACCTCTAATCCATGTGATTCAAATTTATACTCATTTGAAGAACTACAAGATGCCTATTATGAATTAGCTATAGAATTTGAGAACATGAGCATGAAATATAAGAAAATGATTAGTAAATTGAAACTAGAAAATGAGTCATTGACTAAAGCAAAAGAAAACTTAAAAAAAGAAGTTGAACTCTTAAAGGTAAATGTCAATGACTTGACTAAGAAAAATAAAAATCTACATAATT